ATCTCAACGGCCCATCGAGCTATTGCAAGTACTGGCAGTCTCCTCCTGTTTGTCAAGTAGGGAACCAACCGTGCTCGGTTGACGTTTGCGAAGGTGAACTCCATGTGCGCAGTACTGTCGTGTATTTTATATCTTCCTCAGTTCCCGATGGTACAAGTACTGCCTTCGGTTCAACGACTACTACGATAGTTTCAACAACCCCTACAGCAACCTCAATGGCTCCGACTAGTGCAATAGCATCTACAACTCCTCCCAGCCCCTCAACAACTCCTATGGGCCCTTCACCTACTCAGACGCCTGTGACTACTACAACGTCGCCGCCTGTTACGACCGCAACATCAGTGGCTTCAACCAGTTTCCCACCGAGTTCTACGACCTCGCGGGTTATTCCCAGAGCAACTCCGGTGGTTCCCAGAGGACCGCCTGTGAATCTCGGCCCACCGTCGCCAATTCCTAGGGCAACGCCGGTGATTCCTAGCGTCAGACCTGATATTCCGGCAGCGCCACCTGTTAACCCTCCTGGACTGCGTTGATTGTGTAATGCTTGCTCAGGATGACCATACGTATATCTGGAAATGGACCTCCATCTCTTTTTCATCTACTCTTTGAGCGTCTTTCTAATTGACTAGATCGTAAATCGATCCGGACATCCATATGCATCGATTCCGCATGATATATGTTGAGTGTGGAGTCATGTAGGATAAAAGAGCATAAAAAGCCGTTGCTCCGCGTATGTGAAGTGAGCTTTCGGTAAGTGAGCGTCAAAATTCTCACGCCTGGTGAATCCCTGCTGATTTTCGTGGCATATTGGTAAAACAGCAAACGCCATGCGTTGCGACCTCTGTGAATCCTGTCGCAATATGGTGCGGGATATAACACCCACATTTCAAACAATTCCTTGTTGCTCTCACGCATGAGATAGAATAGAGCTTTAGATGCGCTCATTAACCACATTTGGTCGATCTCACGAAGTAAAATCGATTTAGAGGAGTAGATTGTGGTAGTTATTGAGGACGGCTGATCGTCGGTTCGACAATCACCGCCTTGAAATATCGCGGACAATATACTCGTGACAAATCCGTAACCGATATCCGATGAGATGGCTGCGGTTCACACGCTTATAGCAATATGCTAGAATCCCAACAGTAAAATCAATCAGAATATCCTTAAAACCAGAGTGTATGTATGCATTTGTGAGTACGAGACTGGTTCATAATTACCAGATATCTCGACCACATAGGCGCCAAAGTGCGATCTCATTGGGGGGGGGCGACCTCTCCAATGAACAGGGAGATGCTTGGGCCAGTTGAGATTCCGTCCTCTCTTCTGGAACTCGACACGACATCGATTATTCGTGAAAACGTCGTGACGAAAATAAATGAATGCTACTTTTTTTATCTCGAAGGAATGAAACTGACTTTTTCTAACGGAGTTGGCATCAATGAATCTATTAGCGTTGCTGAAGATTTAATGGGGGTCGTTAAATTAGTAACCTTTATCAAATCGAGATCGTACATGAGATCGCGATGTATATGGCACCGCATGACGGCCTCATGACGCGGTTGACCCATAGTAGAGCGCAGAGCATTTTTGAGGCGCCCCATCCGCGCTGAAGCTACGCTCTGGTTCGCATGAAGTAGGCGGAATGGTCAATAGAAGCCTCACAAACACCGATGTTCGCCGGCGGCGAACATCTTGGCGACCGCCTGTTGCTGCATTAACGGCGAACAAATTTCAGAAACACTAAAGTTTAATATGCCAGTTTCGCGCTGCCTACACTTCGCGGTGACTCCCGAGTTCATATAACGCGAACCAGCCTTGGCTATGCGTAAATAATGTGGAATCTAGTCAGAAGAGACACGTGAACAAGTGGGTGCACGTGAAGGTTCGCACGCATGTACACCACTCAGGCCTAGGAGGGAGCCGCGCCCCCCCGACCTTGACATTTCAGGGGGCATCCGCACCCCCTGCCCCCCTATGTTTGGCGGCTATGCTCGACCACCTAGGTGACGACTAAGGCGCCTGGGATAGTTGACCGAAGTGTCTTAGAGATAAGCTACGAGAAGTTCGTAGAATTCGCCTACAAGCGCTTTATAGGAGGCCCTTGGGCTCTGTGATCGTGATCGATTCGTGGCACTTCCGCAGTCGAAAGAGTGCCACATTTAGCTCGCTCGTAACGGGAAGATATGCACAGAGCGTATCTTGACAGCGGAAGTCAATTATCGGATACATGTGCACTACTTGTCTTTCCATTCATGAAGGTCGCTCTATCGTTGCCTGGATTCTTGCAGCTTTCCAAACTCATGTTCCACATCATGGTTGTTCGCGTCGCTGCAGTCTTGTTCGTGACTAAGATTTCGCAGGGCTCCAGTGACCTGAGGAGACTACAGACCTTACCCTCCAGTACCCCGCCTATTTCCAGCACTACCCCTGAAAATCGCCAAGTATGCGACTACTACTGCCAATGTGAGGCCACTTTGGTCCCAATCGATTGATTTTCACATCGCTGTTCTGTCAGATCTCAACGGTCCTTCGAGCTACTGCAAATACTGGCAATCTCCCCGTGTCTGCCAAGGTGGAGATCAGCCGTGCTCCATCGATGTTTGTGATGGTAAGGCCGATCTGTGAGCTGATATGAAATACACTTCTTCAGTTCCCGATGGTGCTACTATTGCCCCTATTCCAACGCCTTCTCCTGTTGATGCCGAAGCATGTGATCAATACTGTATGCTTCTCAATGGTCCATCAAGTTATTGTAAGTATTGGCAGTCCCCTTCGGTCTGCCTGTACGGCGACCAGCCTTGTGATGACGTGAGCACCTGTCAAGCCCCTATCGTCGGTTTTACGACCTTCGACTTGGACGG